TTTGTATAGTTCTTATGTTCTTATGTTCTTATGTTTATAAGTAACTGAAAAATGCACAAATGTCAGGACATGTCAGAATTTCTTCAGGGCTCCAAAACACCTTCAGACTCCTAAGGGTTAAGCTCGTCAAGTGTGATGTACTTTTTGGCTATGAAATCACTAAAGCACAGTGCTAATTCCATGGGAATAATCCCCTCAAAAAGGTCGTGCAAAATATCAGGCGGATAGCCCTCAACCATATGAAAATGGCTTAGTTTCTCTGTCAGTGGGCAAGGCCTTTTCACACCAAAGCAGTGGGGTAGTGCAGGGTTTGCTTGTAGAGTCTTAACATGAACGGAATAACCCTCCTTTGTCCGGATGTGAAAAGCACCTGATCTCACTTCTTTTTCTTGAAAGTCAATGTGCTCTCCTAGACAGAACCTGCAAATGTATGGTCCTGAGAAACTTTCAACAAGGCCAGCAACTGAATGTGAGCCAAGATTGTCGGCAACTACACAGTAGACAGTCCCTTTGACAGTTTTCCCAAGGACAGGAACCAAAATACCATCCTGTTCTATGTCATCCAAGAGGGGCTTGAGAACTTCTACATAGCCAAATTTTTTAATATCATTAGCTTTGCACAAAAGTGCAAGATACACTGAAGTTAGTGTGGACCGAGAACAGGATTGGATATTTCCCAATATCCAGTACACGGCTGTTATTTTATGCTTTCTTCGAGATGTTCCTAAGGGATTACATACCTCAAAATCATCTACATAAAGGAATATACAGATTCTCTGCTCTTCAAAATAGAAATCACTCTCTCTATAAATTGCACCATCACGGAATGATCTGTATTGTGCAGGAATACATGTGTGTCCATCATCTGTGAGGAACTTCTCTCTGATATCTTCATTGTTTAAAATTTGTTTCAATGATTCAAGGATCGGAACATACTGAAAACTCTTATTTTCGTTTGGATCAAGAATATATTCAACTGGCTCTACAACGTTAAACCTTTGTAGAAAGTACTGTCTCCTTTTGAAAGCTGACGACAGCGGGCCAGCCTTATCGAAAGCCATGCTTATGGGGCAGGATTCATTTAACTCCTCAAATAAAGATGTGACAACTGTGTTATCAATCACACAATTGTTCTTCTTCAAGTGTGATTCAACAAAGTCTCTGATAATTGGTATGGATGCTGATGACACAAACTGCATCTCATCTATTAATTCCTTAATACACCTGTTTGAGACATTATGCCCACTTTCCAGTTTGAGCAGGAAAGAAGCTATATGGTCCACAATTAAGTGTCTGTCATCCTTTTCCACAGAATGTGCACCTGAGCTGGTTCCTTCTCCACTACCTTCATTCATATTCTCATCATGGGTGGCTCTAGTGTTATCAGGTTGAAAAGTTGGTTCCTCATTTGGCTTTTCCAAAAGAACAACTCCTTTAAAATCACTCAGAATATGAGGAGTGTGCTTCCTGTGTTTGTGTGCTGTAAACGTTCCATAAGTATTGGTTTGAAAATCACACCCTTCAAACACACACTCAACAGTCTCATTACTTTTAAGGTGATGGCCAACATGTGCAAAATATTCTCTCTCTGTTGGAAACCCTTGTGTCCTACACACCAGGCATGTAAAGGACAGGACAATCTCAGGTCTTTGTGTCTGACTTTCCACATGGCATCGAGACAAATGTGAATGCAAACCACTCCAGATTTTGAAAGAACATGGACATTCCAAGTATACACTCACCTAAAGGATTATTAGGAACACCATACTAATACGGTGTTTGACCCCCTTTCGCCTTCAGAACTGCCTTAATTCTAT